GAGATTTGCAGGCTTGGGGGCAGAAGGGACCGCCTGACAACCTGTCGCGCCGGTGGCGTCCCCGCGGGGCTCCTTCCTCCCGGCCCATCAGCCCGTCGCTGGCTGCGAACGGGGGGCGCGCAGCAGGTCATGTCCGGGGCCGCCTTACCCCGCCGGCTCTGACCTCTGTCTGTAAAGTCCAGTTCACGTCCTTAGTCGAGGCTGGGTTCTCGGGCTTCTCCTCCTTTGACCCTCCGGCCCCAAGCCCCACCCCAGCCCTGGGCGCTGCCTCAGTCGCGCTCACCTTCCTACAAGTTCAGTCCTGGTTGCTCTGTCGGGTGGAGATGAAGACAGACAAGTTTGTGGGCCTCGTCTGCCGCCGGCGAGAAGTTTTTTTAAAAAATATATTTATTTATTTATTTGATTGATTGCCTTTGGGCATCAGCTTATATTTCTGCATTCATTGTGGGGATTGTCCTGGGCCTTTGTAAAACAGGATACTGGCAGCCCGCTAGGGTCCCCTCCCACTGTGGGAGCTTTTCTGTCCTCTCAATAATTCCTGCTTTCTACAAAAAAAAACCCAAAAAACAGGATTCTACCTGTACCTGGTCGTTTGCTGGATCGGCATGCAAAAACTCTTGGTATACTTTGAGGGGAGCAGGAAAAAAAAATACAAATATGTTTCACATAAGTCAGTAGCTCCCTGGGGTTCATTTACTGACTGATTGAGATGGACTGCTTTGTTATTACTTATTATTTCTCAGTTAGCAAGGACACCGGGTAGAACAGAACAGCTCCTTCAGCAGCAGTAATTATTTTTAGCGACTTTCGTGCCAGGCTCCCAGGACACTGGGCCTTGTGTGTTCTACTTTTTTCTACCTTCTACTCTTACTGGTAAACATCCTGACAGTTCAGCCGCTCCCCAGGAGGTCTTGTGCCAGTGGGAACGCCCTGTCCAACAACATGCCGATTATCTGAGCCTTTCTGCCTTCTTTTAAAACTAGCTTGTTTCCCCTGTACTTGTGTTTCATTAGTTTTATTCCTGAACTTAAGAAAACACACAAAACCACACATGCATCACAGTTTTAAGTCCCTGAAAGCTAGTGTTTTTATTTCAAACATTTGAAATTTTTAAGAAAAAACTAAGTGACTGTCTAAACATTGGCAAACACCTCAAACAGGCGTTTGAGAAGTGAGAAATTAGAAATAAATAGACATTTAAGTATAACATTTGGGATAAAAAATGTGTGTTAGTTTGAGAAGGCTGAGAAGGCTTGGGCTGAGTTCTAAACACATTTTGGTTTTCCATTGTATTGTCATTAGTCCTATTATAATATTGTATTTATTTTTTATATCAGAGAACATTGAAACCTTAATGCAAGTATATAACCCATGTTCAAGAATGAACGATGCTAGATAGAATAGTGATGTTCTCACTAAGGATTTTCCATCCAGATCTTGGATGTGGAATGAATAAAAGTGTCTGAAATGCCACATTTGCCATTTGGGAATTCCATGTCCTACTGTAGAAAGCAGTTAGGTTTGACTGTCAGAAGATTGCAAGTGGGATTTGAGAACAATTCTTTAATTCTATAAATTCTTTCTTCTCCAAGTGTATTCCCTAAGCACTTTGTTTTGTAGATTCACTTTAACTCAAATCATTCACCTTAGTCCTCATCCATTTCAAAGACCTAATAGAAAATGCTTTGGGCAGAAATATGCACGCTTTTAAATTCCTGCTGATACTGAAGTCTGTTGCATACCAATAACTAGCTAATTCATTCAATGTCATTCTGTGTGCCCAGCACTGTGTAAGGTACTTTTTAACATGAATAATACATGAACCTTCTCTGAAAGGCCACCACGTCAAAGGTGCAATAAGATAAAAAGCGATAGAACCCTGGTAGACTGTGATCACTCCTGCGAAAGAGACATGAAGTGTGTGTGGTTTGCGGGAAACAGAGATGCCTTGATGGAAAAAAGGAGAATGAGAGTCATTGGGAAGGTTCATGTGCCGAGAGAGCATCACCAGGAGACAGAAAAGCTTAAAGTAAAATAGGCGACAGGTTCTTCACAGGGAATTGTCCCTCAGCAAACTGAATTTCTTCCAAAATTAATCCATGAGAATGAATCAGGGGGACACACTGAGAGAAAGTGCCAGAATGAAGAGCGGAAAGTTTGTGAGGAAAGGAGGTTTGATGAAGGGGAATCAGGAAATCAATTGGAAGGAAGAGAATGGAAGGAAAACTGGAATGAAACAGGTACTAGAAATGAAGCCTAGAAATTAGCCTAGACATGAAGAAACAGGCCCAGTAGGAGGCGGGAAGGGTGAACAGGAAGAAGTTGTATCACTCTGAAAAAGATACCTGCACACATATGTTTGTTGCAGCATTGTTCACTGTAGCAAAACACGGAACCAATCGTGCTGCCCATTGAGAGAAGACTGGATTTTTAAAAATGTGGTACAAATACACGGTGGAATATTACGCAGCCATAGAGAAGGTCAAAATTAAGAACTTCGTAGCAGCTTGGATGGACTTAGAGGCTATAATACTGAGTGATTGATCACAGAAACAAAAAACTTAGTTTCACGTGTTCTCACTCATAAGTGAACCTTGAATGATTATTGTGATACTATAAGGAAAGTATTATCAGTAGTGGGAAATTTCGGGGAGGGAGTGGGATTCTGTTGGGGGTCAACACCTCATCTACAAGGGTACCTGCATAATGAACATTTTTACACTTAACCCCGAATTGTGCCCCACATCTTTAAAATAAAATATAACTAAAGTGAGAGAACAGAGGGAAGTTATCTTTCCAGGTCTCTCCCTCAGTGTTTCTACAACAGCTGGCATGTCATGGATTATTTTATATGAATTTATTTTGTTGTATTAACATTATATGCTTAAATATAAGAAAGGTAAGAATTTGTTGCATGTACCTTAACGGTTTTTGTATTAGTCCTTAAAAACATTTCAACTTTGTACCGAGACGTTTAAATGCATCCACCCTGCTTCTAGTTCCTTGTAGTACCAAGTCAAACAGGGACAGATGGTAAAGGTACTCTCTGTCACGTCCCCAACTTAGAGTGCAAATACTTACCCTTTCTTTTTGCCAGTTTTAAACTTTGCAGAAATATATAAAGGAATATACATTTGTTTTTTATTTTGAGTGAGAGTCACTCTGTCTGCCAGAATGGAGTGCAGTGGCATGCTCATAGCCAACGCAGCCTCAACCTGCTGGGCTCAGGCCATCCTTTCGCCTCAGCCTTGCAAGTAGTTGGAACCACAGGCGCAGGCCACCACACCTGGCTAATTTTTTTGATTTATTGTAGAGATGAAGTCTTGCCATGCTGCCCAGACTGGTCTCAAATGCCTGGACTCAGGCAATCCTCTTACCTCCACCTCCCAAAGTGCTGGGATTATAGGCATGAGCTACCACGCCAGGCTGTGGAGCAAACTATTGATACTCACAACAACTTGGATGACTCTCCAAGGAATTACGCTAAGCAGAAAAAGAAAAATCCACGTCCAGAGGTTCCATACTACATGCTTCCATTTATATAGCTTTGTGAAATGATACGATTTTTGATTTGTTATTGCCAGAGGTTAGGGATAAGGTGGGGAAGGTATGATGTGGGCAGGAGGTGGGTTTGGTTATCAAAGGGCTACCTGAGGGATCTTTTTGGTGAGACTATACAGCATCTTGCTTGTGATGGCAGATATGAGTTTATACTTGTGCCTAATTATATAGAACTAGCCGGGCTCGGCAGCTCAGCCTGTAATCTCGCGCCTTTGGGAGGCTGAGGTGAGTGGATTGCCTGAGCCCTCGGGTTTGAGACTCGCCTGGGCAACTTGGCGAGACCTCATCTCTACAATAAATCAAAAATGAGCTGGGCGTGGTAGCGCACGCCTGTAGTTCCAGCTACTTGGAAGACTGAGGTGGAAGGATCGCCAGAGCCCAGCAGGTGGAGGCTGCGGTGGCCGGGAGCC